AACTCATGCATTCGTCAACACATCCTCTGAAAGCAACAGTAAGCCTCATCATGGTACGATGAATACAAATTTCTACAACTACAGCACAGCCCAGATCAATTTCATCATTCGAAGATAATAATCAGAATCAGATACGAGTTTCCAGTGAAACTGAAAACGAAATGGACCATGACAATATTGCGACTTTTTTTTCGTATTAACAGGCTGAATTTTCAGTGCTGCAATATGAAAGTACGAATGTCACCATGTTGGTGACGTAAGGGCGCAAGTGTTCATATCCTCCATCCTCATTGCAGGGCGAGGACATGCTTTACCTCTGCATACCTCGTGCTCCCCCTCCTCCCGCTTCCTCACGTGCTCTCGTTCGCCCGGCCTGTCGCAATAATGTCGATAACTTGGCCTCAAACCCTTGCAATTGCCCGTTGCGTAAAACGCCACTCAAGTTACGTGAACCCGTTTTCAGACGAAGCACTCGTAAAACTGAAATTTACCATGGTTCTCCGGAGCATATTCACCATGTCGGTGTCAGGCAACGTACTAAACATTCTCTTTTCCAGGAATCTGTCGTGTGTGATGTAATTGTATTGACGTCGATGGTTGTCGAGAAAGAGACAAACCGTAGCCTCAACGAATTAATTGAGGAAAATCCGAGATTATTTGACCTTTGATGAACATATTTATGTTAAGAAAGCTGGTTCCAGGTTGAAGAGGTGAACAAATTCTTTTCAAATAAATGAGAACAGGCCCGATTCTTAGGATAATTTTGACTGCAATAAAGTCTTCCAAAACATGTCTGAGTGACAAAGACGTCTCGTGACAACCCAATCTACATCAATTAAGATTGCCACTTTCTCCATCACGCTTTCATTGGAATAGTGTCTCAATCGCGACAGCTTCGATCTGTCGTAACTGCGAATTCTAGGCAACATTTGATAACGATTCCTTTGTGTTTGAAAGACATGAGAAAAGTGGGAAAAATATAATTTTATCCCCAACGAAACATTTTAATGTCAACAGAGAATTTGTTTGCGTGAATTTAAAAATGATGTGGAAGCCTTTCGGTTGCATTACTGTTTGTGGAATGAGAGGGTCTTTGATGACTCACATTGACACTGTCACTGACACTGACAAAAGATTTCCTGGTAAAGAACAGTGCAAACCAAACATCAGGTAGCTGCGTTCACTTGAACGAAAGGGAGAAGCCTCCATTACATCAGTAACACATTCAACAGCTTGAGTTGTTCATCTGAAGTGGTTTTGATTGATCGAATATCGAATTTTTTTTACGTAATTTTTCTATACTTTTATGACATTTTAAAGAGCATTTTATTGAACATTTTTGCTATGTTTGAGGTCATCAAAATACGCCCCTATTACCATCATTATCATCATTACGGCCATTACTCTCCAATTTCGCGACTAAAGACACTAGATGGCTGTATAAAATAAAATCCCATCCAAATTGCAACCAGCTTCCTACGAATCAATAAATCTAAATATTGTCGTTATCTCTACAATACGTAGGTCATAATGTAGGCTATTCGTACAAAAACGATTTCTTTTGAAGGATCTGAGAGTTTGGATAAGTTCTTACATAAAATAAGCAAAACAAATTCCAGAGTTCCGATACCTGTCAGGACGACCTACGATTTTATGCCTTCATATTCGGCTGATTTCCCTACTTTAGTACGTAAGATTGGCACGTAAACATTATTTATTATTCAGTCCGGAATAACAATATTATGTTACCTTATTGCCATTATATTATTATTATAACTATTATTATTATTATAACTATTATTATTACTACTATTATTACCATTATTATCATTAGCATCATTATCGTTAATATCATTGTCGTCATTGTCATCATCATCATCATCATCATCATTAACATATTCATAACATCTCAGACTCGCAAGTTGTTTTTCCCGAGCCCCAGCGCTGTAAGCAGCTCGCTTTGGGTCTAAGCGACCGAACGACGGCTGGCCGGCTCGCGCGCTCCCGTGACGGCGGGAAACAAGCGTAGAGGAAACGACCTCCTGCGGTTCATGGAAGCAATTACCCCCAACACGCCGGGCCACGAACAACGCCAACGGACGCTGCACGGACGCCGCACGGACGCCGCACGGACGCTGCACGGACGCTGTACGGACGCGGAGACACGGGCGCGGGGAAAACTGGGGGAATCGTACGGAATCTGTCGGCAACGGGATTAAGAAATATACCAAGTGCGAGTGATGAAAGGAGGAACTGTTCGTGGGTAGTAAAGATAGTCACGCGTGTCACAAAACATGTCGAAGGAGGGGAATTGTAGGCAATAGCCTAACGAAAGTTAGCAAAAAGCACACAGTGTCTATATTATTATTATTATTATTATTATTATTATTATTATTATTATTATTGGCGTATAGGCTATTACTGACCACGCTACACGATTAACGTGTGTAATTATTTCAGGATTAGCTTTTCAGCTCTATCTCTCTGTACGACAAAGTTGTTATGCCTTGAAGTGTGAATTATAAGATGATAGGATATAATAATATGAAGATAGGGGTGAACGGACAATCACAATTACGGCCATGTCTACGCAAAACTCGAACCTGCAGTCTCCTCGACGCAGGCGACGGCTGCAGCAATCGTCTGCGTCATGGGACCGACTGTAGTAGTAATAATAACTATAATAATATTTCGGCTAACATACCACAAAGTTCATTTAATGTTTACGGGGCTCGCACTTTGTCCCGTGTAATCCGAATATTCGTCATACGCGTTGCAGACATTTTTTCTCAACTGTCACTCGTTTTACAAACGATGTTAATAGCGTCGATTGTTTTCAGCACCGATGTTTGTATTTCGTGTGATGAAAGGAGGAACGTACGTATTTCGATCATCCATGTTTAGACGCATCGATGTTTTAATTTTGAGCTGCGATATTTGGAAACATCGACATTTTAATTTTGAGCATGGATATTTAGAATCATGGATGTTTTCTTGGCAATGTCGCATCCCTAGTTCGAAGAAGCTCGCCAACGCGATTGGCGGAAGGCCGCGTGTGCGCGTGCAACAGCGTGTGCCAGCCGCCGCGCGTGATGAGCGGAAAAGCGCGACCTCATGTTCGATCGGAAGCGCGCGCGCGAAGGAGAGCTGTGGGCGGCGGCGGCGGGGGGGGGGGCGGGGGCGGGAAGCCGATTCATCGTGGCCGGAAGGCCGGCGCGGAGAGCAAGCTCTGATTCGCAAGCGCGCAAGCTTTTTCGCGGTCCGTGGCCTCGGGCGGCCGAGGAAGAGCGGGCACGTGGCGGGACGTCGAAGAAGAGTTTACGTTCTTTGGTTGGGCGGTTGGTGAAGGTGGAGTGGAGGCGGTGAGGAGGAAGCAGTTGGTGAGAAGAAGATGGATTGAGGTAGCGGTCGATGACAGAGTTGGAGGCGAAATAAAAAGACGAAAACCTAGGATGGGATGCCATATGCCCAAATTATTTATTTCAATACTTTCGATATCTTAGAATCCATCATTCATTACTTTTCGCTCATCGTACGTCCAAACTGCTGATTGTTGCTGTGCTTGCAGTTCTGCCAAAACTAAATCGTAACTTAGCTTTACTTTATTGTTGCACATGGACTGCTATATTTATTTCATTTTTAAATGCCTAAACAATTCACCGCAAAATACAAGGTATCTAAACGTTTAGGGAAAATTAAAGGTATTTTTCAGCGGTCGATTTAGAACTTAAAAGCACCACGACATTGTCATAAATCGCAGGAAATTTATAGTTATGCTGCGAAACCTTTCTTATTCGTAATCACAAACTTTCGTGGTTGCGTGAAAGTACGTTTACATTTACTTACATTTAGTACAACACTAGGAGTACGTGTTAACTAAGGCCTGCATATAGTGAGTAGTCAGAGTTATTTCTGACGACGGCAGGGTTTAAAGTTCGGAAGTAGGTAGGTGTTAGATGAGACATTTTATCTCGCGTCTACAGTATTATTGCATTACGGGAAGTGCAGTATTGAGAAAGAAATTCGCGAATTCCCCCCTGATATTGGAGTCAATGTTACAAATATCAAAACATATTTTAAAAGTAATTCAAATTTGAGAAAATGAAAAACAATGTACAAACAATAAATTTTCCTTCATTTTTCACTTCAAAACCTGTGGATTTCATTCCAAATTTTGGGACAAACTGGCTCGAAAACCCCAGCATCCGAGGTCCAAAACCAACTTCACTAACCATTGAAACCAATTGTCACTAAACTCCGTTTAAAACTTAAGGAGAGTTGATAGTGGTCAGCTGGGCCAGGGTATTCGAATCAGGAGCTTCAATATCCAGCTTTAAGTGTTAACAGGGCCCCCGATTGCATCATCGTGCCCAGTTGATCAAAAGTCCACTCGTCCCGTAGGAGTATGCACATACTCCGATTAAAACGCAAAATGAATTGACAACGCTCAGCTGGAAATAGGGAGCTTTAATGTCGAACATTTAAGATGTAACGGAGCCCCGATTAGATCTCCGCGCCCAGCTGATCGAAGTCGATTCGCCCTGCGTTTTAACCGGCGTACAGCTCCCGCGCGACCCCGTCACACACGGCGCGCGCGGTTGCAAGGGCATCTGCAATGCAAAGTCCCGTCCCACGCCGCAGTGACACACGCGCGGCGCGAACCCACCTTTGCGCGGGCGGCGGCGGCGCGTGGGCGGGCGGCCGGGGGCGGCGCCGGGGGCGGCCAGTCTTCGAGGAACGCCGTGGGGTGGCCGTCCACGTACACCCACACGCCGCCGCCCGGCGGGCGGGGGGCGCGGGGGGCCGGCGGTGGGCCGCAGGCTGCGGGGTGATGCGTTGCCGCAAACGGGCATCTGACTCAGGCCCCGCCGGCCGCGGGGAGGGCGCTGGATCAGGAGTGCGGCCGCGGGAGCCGGCGGCCGGGGCGGGGGCGGCGGCCTGAACCGGATGCGACGGCGCTGCGTCGCTGCGCGTCGTCGGTGACGGAGAAGATGTGCGAGTCTTCGATGGCATCGTAGCAGTTCGGTCGTTCGTTGCCTGCTGATTCTGCGGGCGGTTTTACACGATTCAGCCTTTCGTTTCAATTGCAAAGTCTTCCGGCGATTCCACTGGCGGATTAACGCGATTCGGTCGCTCGCTTCAATTGCAAAGTCTTCCTGAGATTTTATTAGCGGTTTCACCTGATCTATCTCAAGAGATTTAAGTTCAATTGAGAGATTTTCGCGTCTTTCGCTGATTGACGGCGTTGTCGATTGTCGGGCGTTCACTTCGTAATTTTGTCGCGCCGGCTTCAACTGTCGGTTGCAAGGTTGTTAGTATGAGCTCAATTAAAAGATGCTTGCGTCGTCGGATATTCGAAGATCAACATCGAAGCTCTGTCACTCACTTCGACCGGAACTTCTAACAGGTGTGGTACTGGCGGTGTACACAATTCAATTATTATTAGCGCGGTCGTTCACTTCGAAACTCCTGAGTTATCTTCCACTGGCGGTTACACGGTCATTACGTTGAGTTCAATTGACTCATCTTCACGTCTGACTGATGGTGTTTTCGCAGCTTCGTCGCTCGCTTCTTACGAAACTTCGCCGGTTGCTTGACAGTGCGGATTCACGCGATCTGATTCAATTGAATCGAGTTCAATTGAGAGATCTTGGCACCATCCGCTGATCAATGGGGTTGTGCATAGCAAACGCACGCACGATATTCCACTTCACTTGTAAGATTCTTTTCTCACGATTCAAATGCTGTTGTGTGGCTTTTCGACACAAAAAAGCGACATTCAGCACTTTTCACGATGCCTGAGAGTTTACACTCAAGTTAACATACTTAGTTCGTTGGGATTATATTGTTTCAGTTATAACTCTTCAATAATGTTTAACTTAGTATTTACCACAGGCACCTCTGGATTTTCAAGATACACCCAATTCTTACGTGGGCTATTAAGCAGCGAGTTTTTACGATCGAAGTTAGAATTAAGCAAATATTCCGATTTGGTTAAGCACCAACAATTTCTTTTAATCCGTGAAACCGACGCTCGTCATAGAAACAGTCCAAGAATAAACTATCCATTGCTTTCACATCGCTCGCCAGCCGAGGCTCACTTTGAAACATCGTGCATGAACTCCACGACAGCCGGTGACGTGCTCCTCCGAAGAAGTCTCCCGTTCTCAGAATGTCTCCAGCAGAATTCTCGAGATGCTTCTGCGCGTGTTTCTTGAAGAAGGTTCCCTACGCGCCACGCAAAATTCCGCCCTTCCTTTCCGTGTTAAAACAGGCGCGGGCGCAGGAAAGAATCTTTAATTGCTTCCTGGCGTGTTCTCAGAAAAGAACGCGCTTTCGCGTAGCAGTGTTTACTCCGTGCTGCAAGGAGTCGCACACTTTCATCGCTCACGTCGTAAAAATAAAAAGGGTTCACAGAACTAAAAACGTCTTCAGGGAAGTTTTAATTCAAAAGTAATTCCCTGTGAAGATTCTTCCAGGTGTACAGTCACTTAAACAATAGTCTTGGGGACACCGCTTGGAACGTAATCGTTTGTAATACACCACTTACGGTTTTTTCCACCGCATACTGTTTCATGAAATTTGGTTTCTTCTATATTAGATATTCACCTGTAAGTATCATTATTTTAAACAATAAGTTTGAAAACTTATTTCACAAAGTATGGAGGACAATAATTTTCTTTACTGTGTATGCAACTCAAAACCCTCAAGAATATTTCTACTTGTATCTCTCTCAATAGTAATCGATTGTACGAAATCAAATTTGCAACTTATATAGTTGGATTTTTATAATTTCAGTAACAATTAAAAGAAACAAATATCAAATATAATACTGTGAGATTCAGATGTTTAAACGAAACATGCGAGGTATGTTAAATACGAATTACAATCATTAATTAATTACTGTAGGTGATTATTATTTGTGCCCAAAGTGTTATTCCTTGTAATGTAAGATGATTGTTAAAATGAGAGATTTCGCGTACGTTGCCGCGAGCCTTTAAACGGGTCTTTCTAAACCAAGTACATATTACCCGTCCTGCAACTAGCGGATTTTCGACCAACTAGTGTGTAGCTTTAAGACGCAGTGATCAAGGAGGATTGCTGAGCCGAAGAAAGGAGACTGACACCAAAGAACCTGAAGCCAATCACATGCAGATGTGGACTAAGAGGTTAACGCGTTGATTCATAATAGTTGAATAAAATGTCTCCACCAGAGATGAAAAGAGGGCTCCTCAAAGCGATTTCGTAACGTTTGGCGCAGCTTGAAAGCGGGCGAAGTTTAAACACGTTGAAAGTCAATTATCCAACGTATTATTGTTACCCTACCTAGCGAGTAAAAAATTACACATCTTGAATTGTCAACGGATCCATGAATCATCAGACCTACGCGACTTGAAAAAAAAACAGCCTCTTTTCGTAAGAAAGAAATGCTACGGCACTGCCGTCAACTGAAGGTGGCCAGTTCTTTTTCCAACTAGCCGCCATCGCACATCGCGGAAAGTATCGGAGAAGAGGCAGTAGATACTTGTGAGTATTTAGTGTTTCCAAGCACTTCGGGCCTCAAGGTCGTCTGGCCCGTAAGAGTAGTGCAAGTTATACTCCGGGAGAAGGCGACGTTCCTTACGCGGTGGATTTTTTAACATTTATTTCATTGGTGTTTCCGGGTACTATGGTCATTAGTATCGATTGTGTCGTGAATGTTTCATTGCGGGAGGTGGCAGAGGTCCTCCCCAGACGCATAGTGAGACCCAGCTTCGACAGACACGCCGCACTGAGGCGGATTCATCCTCCAGGCTGTCTTTCCACAGCGAGACAGCGCCCTCTCCCCACTGGGATAAGCCATAAGCTCTTGACTGGTTTTACGTCATGTATGGTAGAATAAAGGAAATAAGTTCACTGCACGCGGTCCGTGGACAGTGTTTAGGTACTGTATCTGCATGAGCCTGGTGTTCATAGGAGAAACCACGAGAAACTACCGATCAGAGCAGAATCTAGCCGGCCGCTAGAATCTCCTCCTGCATATAGCTCCTGCGTATCCTGCGACCGCGGCTGCATATAGAAAATGCTGACAGTGACTGGGGTTCGAGCCTAGAACCTGCCGGGCCCAGAGACAGCACTGACATCCGTTGATGCCCTGAGCCACCTCCCCCGTGTCGGCGCCATGCAGTGCCCCCAGCGGCGTCTCCCGGAAGCGTCGTAAAGCGGAGCGTCGCAAGAAGGCTGTCGCCTCCGCCTCCGCGTCCGCGCCGGCCACTTAGGGCATTCCTCGGGGGATCAGCTGGGGACTGCAGCACCCGGGCGACGACCAGCTGGAGGAGCGGGGCGGGCAGGGGGCGGAACGGCTAGCGCGCACGCCTTCCGTCGCGGGGGCCTCGGGTTCGAGGCTCTGTCAACCCATGTGGAAGGTTCGACGAATCCCTTACCCCGCCCGGCACTACGTACACTTTTTATCATCCGTAAATTGGGAGGGGGCGACCCACACTCTCTCATGTTTCCTCCCGTCCTCCCCCCCCCTCACTCTCCTCGTTCGCCAGGTCGAGTCCCTGTCTATGAAGGGCCTTCTGAGCTAGTTCCTCGGTTACCGCCTAGGCGCCGCTGTGATCCTTTGTGGCATAATGGGGGTAGGGAATGATTAATGGAGCATGCCGGTAGACTGCGAATTGACGGAGAAAACGAGAGAACCCAGAGAAAGCCTGCCGCGAACCCGCTTTGTCCACCAAAAATTCCACTCGGGTCCCTAACCGGCCACCAACGGTGGACTAGCCAGGACGCCAAGGGTTGCTCCACCATGTGGAATTTGTGCTGTTCGCAGGGGGCTCAAGGTAGGTTTTCTCGGGGTTCTCCCGTGTTTCCTGAGGTTCCACTTAGAGCTTGTCTTGGCTGGGGGCCGTGCCCCCGCTGGGGGCGATACCTAACGAAAATCTGGAGGGAAAAACCATGCAAGCCGACCTGTAGGATCTAACCACGCAACGCGGAAAGAACATGGCTATCTCCAATAATAAAAAAGTACTACACTTACGGGACAAACGACCCTAGCTGATGACACGTCCAGACATACGAAATTATTAATTCACCATGCTTCTTGAACATTTACATCAATATTATCGCGATCCCGATCCGATTCCATATATATATATATATATATATATATATATATATATATATATATATATATACCCATTAGACGATGCAAAAGGGTCTTCATGGCCTGAGAAGTTAAAGGGATTATCACAAAAAATACGTAAATAAATAAATGACCGGAGTAATGACACGAATTGACACGAATCTATACCGAACTGAGATTGAATGCCTTCCACAAAACTTCGACTTCCTAGCTTTTGGACAGACAAAAAATACACACATTTCTTGCAAGAAAGCACACGTATTAACAAAAATAAACCAACAACGTAAGAAATTGGTAAAGGAGCTCCCAAAAATTTCTGTCCGAATACAACCCCCGCTTGCTTTAGACTACCCGATATTTTCTCAACAGCGACAGTTCGCTTAGACGGCCCGCTTAGATGGTTCGCTTAGATAGTTTGCTTAGACCGTTCGCTTAGACGGTCCGCTTAGATAGCTCTACAGCGCATGCGCAGTCTGGCTCCTCATGTGTCTCGCTCGTCCAGTAACGGTCGTCGGGTTCCCTGGTACGTCTCGCGACCTATAAACTCGAGCGTTTAACGCAAAGCGATTACTAACGGGGGCTTAAAACTCCCTATATTTACGAAAGCCAGTCGCAGGTGGACGATCGCGATATACCGACGCCTTCCAGCACAACCGCGCCAACGGGAACGCCGGCCAAGGAGCCATAAATTCCGTCGCCGCGGGTTAACGTCCCTCGCGAGATGATGAGATGATTCTCGGCTCCTGCATCGCGACGCCGGGGTGAAGATAGTTCGGGAAATCGCCGCGAGGCGTCAGCTGAGTGAGATGGGCGGGAGCGGCGGCCGACTCGTTCATCACCCGCCTTCATTTCCGCAGCGACCGCGAGCGCCGAGATTCGTTCATCACCACGACATGCCGACGACGGGAAATTGTAATTCACGGATGCTTATATGACGACGTCGTTCCATCATAACGCGTATTTATTTTCACGAAACGCTTTTGCCAATGGCACCCCCAACATCAGCGGTTTGATATAACTGTGAGCCAGGTAAATCAACATCAGCAACACAATTCAGAAGACGAAAACCGTCTGTATTATAGTTATTGGGAACTTTTAACAATGAGTGGGGAACATTAAACTCTATATATAAACCATAATCGATTTGCGTCACGATATTTTTTTCGAAATTATCAATGACATTTCAATAATTATATGTTTATTAGAATTAAAATACTATTAAAAACATTAGATGGAATGTATCGATGATTCTAATTCATAGTCATCAATGTTGTATTACTACTTTATCAGGCACTTAGTATTAGCTTGGTAGTTTACCAATCTCTAGAATATGAAGCAAAATATAGCTGTAAAACATGTTGCATAAATATTTTATGGAAGCTGTAAAACATGTTACATAAATTATTTTATGGAACCAACATCGAGATCATCACATTTCGTACCTTCGCAAAAGCACGCCTGAAAAATGTTCATTTCTTCAGGGTCAAGGTTAGTTCCTCGTCAGACACGCATTGGCTCTCTCCGGACGGAAACACGAGCGATCCTCAGGGCGGGATGACGCGAGGGAAATTCCGAGATCAACAGCCTGTCCATTAGCCGCTGATGATTCCATTCGGTAACATGTCAGACCGTGCGGTGAAAAACGGAACGATAAAACTATCTAATGAAATGCAGTAAACATGAAATTACTGTCATAAAATAATAATAATAATAATAATAATAATAATAATATTAATGAACAAAAAACAACATTAATAACGCAAAAGGAATTGATGATTCAGAATGAAAAATGAACAACGCACGGAATTTGTTGCACCAGTTTAGAAATACTATGGGTGATTAAGCATAACAAATCACATGCTCATTTGCCAATTTATTAGGAAATAGCCTCAAAAATGTACATGATGTACATAGTGTTATTATTTCGAATATCATTAATTCCCAGTTTCCCTATTAACTTCGCCTGTGGTAATTTACTTCCATGACTTCAACCCGTTCACCGAAAGCTTTTCAAGAGCGTCCACGTAGCCACTTCGCGTTAGTCACCTATTGCTCACGGCCGATGCAGCAACCGCCGCGGCGCCAGGAGGCGGCGCGCTGCCGTAGTCGCCCCTTCCGCAGGAGCCGCCAGGCGGCGTGGGCGACGCGGCGGAGCGCGCGAGAGGGACGCGGGGGCAAAGGTTAAGAGGATGGTGACGGCGTAGGAGGGGGAGGGGGAGGAAAAGACGCGGAGGAGGCCGCGGCAAGGAGAGTGCAGTGGCGAAGGAAGACGATGGTGAAGGCGGACGAAGACGATGG